AAACAGTTCATTCGACAAATGAAAACTCACAGGAATATGTTTCAGCTATTAGAACAGAATGATAGTTTTTATAATACTAGTTTAAAAAACGCACTTCAAAGATTGCAGTGTTTGAAGATGTAGATTCTCAAGAGGCAACAGTACTGTTGACTTCTCCCTCCACTGGACACCAACTAACTATTTAAGTTGATTTGCATACAAAGCAGAGCTTGCAACATGATAGCTATTCATAAAGGGTGTTTTTTTTTTTTACTTTTCATATAATACAGTAGTCATACAATGAGGCAGTTCATATTTGTCTCAGTAAATCATTAATTTTTGACAGACACCTGTACAAAATACTTGGACTAAAGCCAGCTAAAATTTTCTGCTATCTTGCATGTTTTATGAATCTATTCACATCTAAATGCAGCACTTTTTTTTGCAATGAGACATTTGTTTTTATACTAAAATATCTGAATTACTTTGAATAAAGCTGGAAATTATGTCCCTTAAAATAATTAAACAAATAATGCACCAATGTTTTTGTAAGATATTTACATCTTTCAAGGACATTCGGTAGACTGATTCCCCACTGTTGGTTCAACTCCAAAACTTGTTTGTATTCAAAATTAATTATGACAATGCATATTTATATTGAATCAAACTATGATAAAGGGAATTATATTATATAACAAAGGGCAAGGTCACCAGAGTTCAACTATGTTTTGAATACGAGTTGTAATATCTAGAACTAGTATTATGCATAGCTCTGCGTATATATACTGTGGGGCTTAGTATCAGACGGTGGTATCATAATACGGACAGGCGATCTATTTGCAACCCCGGCTCCCAAGGCCGGGAATTTTCATTGCACATGATTGGTGCATACGGGTTGGTTATGAGTTTACCAAAAGTCATAATCCTGACTATGATGTGAAAATAGCTAAATCCAGAATAGCTCTGCGTACACGGACTATGTCGGGGGCTTAGTATCATAATTCGGACATGCGTTCGTAGAGCATTGTCCATTAGTTTGCTGCAATCAACACAGCGCTTTACCATGATTACTTCTAGTAACCGTAGCTTTATGTAGGGTTACATGTACAATGAGAATGAAATGCAAGGATCTACAGTTATACTTTCACCTAAATGTAAAAATTTATCTGTAAGCCATTGACTTCCAAATTTGAATGTAAAACAATATGTTTTTTTCACAGATTACAGAATTACAGCTATTGTGGGATAAATGCTTAGATACGAACCCTACCGTATGTAGCGCATGCTGTGATGCTTTGCTGGCTTTAGTTAGCAATGGTCATGCTGAGTTTAGTTACATACTTAACGGTTTGCTCAACATCGTGCCATCCACTAAATGTTTGGCGGTGTTGGTACGAGCACTGAGTGATCTACTGCTGATGGAGCTGTCGGTGACTTTACAGTCGATGAGTGTAGATGTGTGTAGTTACCAGCCATCATATTCTCTCAGGTATGAAAGCATTTATATTTACAAAAAAAGTTCCCTTAATTTGTTTGTTGATTTAGGACCCACTGAACATAATTTCCAGCTGGCAATTAAAAAAAAAGTTTAAGTTTATTTTGTAAAAGGTGACAAAAGTAAACTTTGGCATTCAAAGTATTAATGATATGCAAGTTACCTAATTAATATGCACAGATGGTAGATAAAACTATTTTGAGAAAGGTGACAAAAGTAAACTTTGGCATTCAAAGTATTAATGATATGCAAGTTACCTAATTAATATGCACAGATGGTAGATAAAACTATTTTGAGAAAGGTAACAAAAGTAAACTTTGGCATTCAAAGTATTAATGATATGCAAGTTACCTAATTAATATGCACATACGGTAGATAAAACTATTTTGAGAAAGGTGACAAACATAAACTTTGGCATTCAAAGTATTAATGATATGCAAGTTACCTAATTAATATGCACAGATGGTAGATAAAACTATTTTGAGAATGGTGACAAAAGTAAACTTTGGCATTCAAAGTATTAATGATATGCAAGTTATCTAATTAATATGCACAGATGGTAGATAAAACTATTTTGAGAAAGGTAACAAAAGTAAACTTTGGCATTCAAAGTATTAATGATATGCAAGTTACCTAATTAATATGCACATACGGTAGATAAAACTATTTTGAGAAAGGTGACAAATGTAAACTTTGGCATTCAAAGTATTAATGATATGCAAATACCTAATTAATATGCACATACGGTAGATAAAACTATTTTGAGAAAGGTGACAAAAGTAAACTTTGGCATTCAAATGGTTCAATCTAATATGATGCAGTCTTCGTTGAAATAGTGACATCAGTTGTAGTGAACTTGGTAGTTGCTAAAGGCAAAAAAAAAACCATGCAAACAAGATCATTACCTGAAATTATTTATATTATGGCATGCCCCTCTGATGTTATACATGCAATCACAGTCATCAACATTAACAAAAAACAGGCCAAACTATGGCAATGCCTGCCATCTGCACAATATACTGTATGCATCACTGGACCACAAAATAGCCAATATGATTCTCAGTTTTAAACCACATATTTTATTTGCATTAAAGTAAAGACATGTATTAAGTGCATAAAATGTAGGTATTAAGTAATTATGATTGTTTTTTCCAGGTCACCAACCCATCCGTTTATTTCAGTACTGACCAGTTCTCCCAATAGTTGGTGCCACTTGATAGACCATACTTGTTATATTCTAAACCATGGTAGCAGCAGGTAGGTCTTATTTCAGTTTGATATATAAAAACTGAAAATAACTGCAAATCAAAAATTAAAAAAGATTTGGGTTTAATATTAGCTGGCAAGTATAGAGTAATATGTGAACAAATATTCGGTGGGGTGGCTGTGCTGAGAACTCGTTGAAATAAAAACTATATCCAATCAAACCTGTAGAGCCGCTCTGTTGGGTCCAAGTTTGAAAGCTGACAGTAGAATATGCCTTAATATGCTCTCTGGTGATATATATGTTATTTTTCTCAGACGATGCCTCGGCCATACATGCAAATATGAAGTTGATCGTGAAAAACCAATGTCCCAAATTGTGACAATTTTTGCTGAAAATCCAAGATGGCAGTCGAACAATTTGACTGATCAAATTATTTTCTTTTCCTAGTAAGAAGCATTGCCTGTACATGCTACATACAAAATTCAATTGTTTAAAGAAATCAAAGATGGTAGCCAAACCATGTGATCAATTGTGCTTTGCAAACTTTAAAATAGCTTTATACATATATACCTAAAAATTAATTTCAGATCCTATGTGTTCAGTGATTCTGAAGAAAAAGATTTACAAGTGGTTTCTTTTGTCATTTTTTTTGGGGGGGGGGGAAGCATGGTAATAATAAGCAGATTAAGTCATGTGATTGCTAATGTTTTTACTCATGAAATATGTAGCTCATATATCAATAATGTACTACAAAAATTCAGAATGCCTAGACCATCACACAGGGATAAAAAGATCCATGATGGCTGCTAAACCAGTCAACCAATGAAAATTCTAATGTTAGGTTAACCAGTTCTCATAGTTCCCAATAAGCTTGAGAAAGTTCAGAAGTCTATGGTGTTCAAGTTATACAATGACAATGAAAGATGAAAAAGACAAATTGAACAAAAACAAATGGACTTGGACCCTGAAAATGTTTTTGATTTTCCTATTTTCTCATAGATATGGTTCTTGTGTAGTTAAGTTATTAGAGCCGTTTTTGAAGTATGTGTTGTTAGATCCAAACCCATCAACATTCCATGGTCCTATGAGAACCATGCTATGCTCAGTGTTGCTTCAGTTCTGTGCAACAAATGTGGAGAGACGTGCTAAATGCAGTGAATGTGTCAATTACTTGGTAGATTTCATGGTGTCTATCATACCATGCCTGCAGGTAAGGTGCCAAAATAATTTAATATATTCTTGGGGCGGAGCTACAAATGTACGTCACAGAACGTTCTACGCTGCTAAGACGCGTACCACCGTACCATGTATATCTATAGGCTCTGCGCGAGCTGCTATGGAATGCTGGTCGAAGAGCAAAAAAACTAGAGAAAACAACAAAAATTCAACTATGTGACAATCCTGAACAACCAAATTGATATATGTTGCACACGTAGGGGTAGTCACTGTTCAGGAGAGTCTCAACAACAAGCCCAAAGTATATTAGAGTTTTGATCATCAGTTGTGCTTGCCAGGTGGTGAAAATGCCTGGATGTTCGCTCCTGAGAATAAAACACAAATATTCATATTTTTTTAACATTTGTGGACCAGAGACAAATTGTTCTCATTTTTCATGTCTAAAAAAAACCCTTTTTATGTTTTTTTTTACCTAGTTACATTTTTATTTTTACATTGAAATCAGAAAATCTGTGAAATTCATTAAGAGTTTATAGGTGTGTTTTGATTGCATTAAATTTGAAAAATAGTTGAGAAAGTACCAGAATATGTGACTATAGATTATGTATGAAGCTTGCTATGGGTTGACTTAGGAAATCTTTCATTTCTTTGATGCTTTCTTTGAACAGTTCCTCTGTGCATATTGTTTTTCTTTTAAATATACTCGCCTCCAATTTCTAATACTGTAAAATACTTTATTTTCGCTGAAGAAATGATTCAGTGAAAATAAAATCCAGGGAATATATCTTTTTTCCCTATATATTACATTCAACTTGTCAAAAATCAGGGAAAATAAATTCCATACAAAACACCCAAAATGTCTTTTCAGTGAAAATTAATTTCAGCTAAAATACAGTATTCTACAGTATTCAATCCTGTACCTTTTCCCCATCTTTTCATTACTAAATACATCAAAACCTCCCAGATATTTCTTCTGTTTTGTAAATTTTTTTTTCTTTTCTGCAGGTTGAGCCAATCACCAATTTATCAGAAACAAACCGTTATTTGCAGAGTCTCACCAATTTCATCTTGCTGCATCCACAGCTCTTTGAAAGTCACCTGACAACTCTCATACTTAACATACTTTGTATTATGAAGACACTTTTAGAGACGGGTGGTGAATTGTCGCAGATGTTGTTATTAATGCAGCGTATAGCCGAGTCAATACTGGTCGTAAACGAGACTACGTTTATCATGATCAGTGTTTTATTGATGAAAATGCCAACAAATTATGTCAAGGAAATGCTTACGATTGGTAAGTTTAAGTAATTTGTTGTGAGAACTTACATACCTACCGTATATACTCTATTAGAAACACAGATAATCAAAAATCAACTATCTCCTAAAATAATTATTTTTTCTTGAAAAGAAACACTTTATTTAGTACACATTTGCACAAATCTTGTTATCATTGAAATATGATTTGTCATTTTCGTAAAGTCATGCGCTACTAATAGAGCAAATACAGTACGCATCTTTTGAATTACATTGAGATGAGTGAGTGTGAAACAGGTCATAACGCAATCCCAAAAATATCTCTAATCTTCTATAGCTAAAAATGTACAAGCGAAAAGTCTCCATTCTTCAACTTCAAAGGCAATGATTCTACCACTACTGCAGATAATTTCAATATCTCAGACGTCTATTGTCATGGATACCAAGCAAAAACAAATCCTCCAGACTCTTGCGACAGAACTTCTTTTGCAAATTGATCATAACACAATGAAGCATGGAATAACGGTAAGGAGTTAACTTAGTGTCAAAGTTATACTAATTTGCCTGCTGTACATTATTTTCAAAATTAGAAATTAAAACTTTTCCTGTACATGTATTTCCACAGCTTGATATCTTTATTCATTCATGACTAAATTGCATAATGGTTAAGTTGCACTCATAGACTTTACTTAAAGCGCGGTGGTCGTCGCGCATGTTCGAAATTCATGTAAATAAACAATGTATTTTACATGCGAAGTATATGTTGCTATGAGTCCCATGTCGAACAGAACGCGGCGCGAGACTGCCGCCCTTTAAGTTTAACACACAAAAAAGGGAACAATTGCCTACCATGGGTGAGTGTGTTATGAACTCAATGTGGAGCCAAAGCTGAGATTGATTTTAATAATACTTATTACAGATGTACCTTAACTGTTTATTTGGGGGGGGGGCACTGTGACTCTCTGATTCTGATTTTAACTGCTACACAATTTTCTCAGAATTTTTCACCTGTGTACGAGTCTGTAAATCACTTTTCATCCTTCTCTATCTCATTTACATACAGCCTGCATCCATATCACTAGAACTACCATGTCTTGATCCCTGGTTCAGAAGAATGCAGACTTGTGCCACCTATGCAAATCAGTTTCAAGAGGACTCAGACCTGGCTGCTGATTGGTTGACAGCTATCCAATCAGAGTTGAAAAAAGGTGACAAGGTACCTGATGATGTCATCATCTTGCTTGTCTGTCTGCTGACCAACACCGGTTTAGGATTGGTCGATCGGTGTCTGGAGATTTTGACAGATATTGCGAACAAAGATGTTACTAAAGTAAGTAAATGTCATTCATATGTCATTGACCACTTTCCTTCCATTATTTGTTCGTGATTTACTACTACATACAATGTATAAAGTAGTCATTTTCGCCCAAATATTTTTTTTTACCCAAAATTTAGTGCAAATATGTTCATGTTTGTTTTCACTAAATATCCTCATCATTTTGAACCATACAGTCAGTTTCACATATCGCTTTTAGTGTTTAATCAAAAAAGGTGAAGTATACTGTATAAAATTGTTTTGTGGATGATGTTTCCATAAAAATGCTTTTTAAATCTTTTATTCCAAAACCTTAAATGTGGCATATTAGTTAAGTGTGACTGCCAAGTATTAGTGTCACTCAGCTGTGACAAAATTAATTATATTCTGGCTTGTGTCTGGCTCATTGCATTTATTGTAGGGAGAGTGAGGTTCAGTTGGAGGGACATCAACTTGACAGTCCCTGAGTGGAATTTTGGAAATGGACTTGCACCTGTTGATTTTCAAATAAAAATATAATGAGCCATATGCTTATGCATATTAATGAGGTTTATGTAAGTTACATCTTTTTTTCAATGTCTTTATTGTGACATTGGTTGCATATGTTTCTAATATGACAGTTATTCCTAGGAAAGAATGCATCTCCAGAGCAAACGGCATGTGCCAAATTGCAGACAAATCAGACAAACACACCACACATAATTGCACCAATTTTGTTTTTCACCAGGCCACATTCTTTTTTAGCCCCCGCCGGATCTGTGATCTGGGCGGGGGGGTATTAATTTGGGTCGTGTCTGTGCATCCGTGTGTGCACATTTTCATGTTATCAGCTTTTTCTCACATGTGTGATCCAATTCAGTTCAGAGTTGGTACAGAGACAGGAATTGATGGTGCTATTATGCACATCAAGTTATTTTTTTGATTCTTCAAAGTTTCACTGTGTTTGTCTTTGATTTTTAATATTTTTCCTTCAAAACTGCTGGAAAATCGACTTTTCCCGAAATTACCCAAGTTTAATTCGAGTTTTGATGGCGCAAACGCAGTTCTCGTCTCGGTGGAAATCACAGTCGTTTTTGTTGTGAGGATATTGTATCCCGGAATTGTATCTTTATTTGCGCAACGCTTATATGGACAAAATTGTGTCTCGTCAATTTCAAAGGTAAGAAACTGTGCTTGTTATGGTATTTATACACTTTGT